CACCTCCAGTGTGGGGGGGGGCCCAGCCTCTCTCGAGGTGTAAGGTTCCAGAGCCCAAGCTGTGCATGGAGGCAAGCCCGACTATCTCTAGCCGGTATCTCTCAACCTCCCGCACAAGCTCGGGCTCCTTCCCCAACAGCAAGGTGACATTCCATGTCCCCAGGGCTAGTCTCCATGTCCAGAGATCGGGTCATCGGGGCCCTTGTCTTCGACTGCTGCCTGATCCACTGTGCCCCAGCCCCTTACGGATCCTCCTGCAGGTGGTGGGCCCACGGGAGGACGTCCCCACGTCGCTCGTTCGGGCTAAGCCCGACCCGGCCACCAGGCGCTCGCATTCGAGCCCCAACCCCGGGCCTGGCTCCAGGGTGGGGCCTCGGCTGCGCCATGCCGGGCGACGTCATGGTCCTTGATTTTAATCTATTCATAAAGGGCTTTTGAACCCCTCTTAGTCTGACCCGTCACCCAGGACCTGTTTGCCTTCGGAGACCCTACCAGGGACATATAGCCCCCAACAACATAGCTCCTAGGATCACTCGGGTACTCAAACCCCTCCACCACAATAAGGTGGCGGTTCAAGGAGGGGCTCATTAATGTTAGAATTCATGTACTGTACAGTGTGTAATGCATCATATGCACCTTTCATGAATAATATCTGGAGTGGCAGCTATTCTTTAAGCGAAAAACAATCTACATTCAAATCTTAATAATGCTATTACTCGTGTTTAAAGTGGAAGGAGAAGGAAAAAAAGAATATTTGCATCCTAACAAAATTATTCGGACGCGCTTGTTCAAAAACAGCACAAACAAAAGGACCATCCGTCTACACTTTGAAATTGGCAAACTATTAATGATCCAGTCTAGGTCATAGAATACAAAAAAAGGCATTAAAACTACCACCTTAAATGTACACACTGGAATAAATACAGTGAGTGCAGAAGTGGTGTTTTCAGTGGAATCCAAAGAAGATAAGGAGCAAGACAACACTGATATGAAATGGCAGATTGGGATGCAGTTTCACAAAGAACCTTGGCAGTTTGGAGTGAGCGTTGCAGGACTACTACCAAATGTGCTGAATAACTATCTTCTATTTTGCATTTACCTCAACTGAAGTGTAAAAATTTGTAGAATTC